GTGCTGTCCCCTGTCCCATATCCTCCCAGACATCTGCTGTTTTCTCCTGATCCCAATGCCAGAGCCTTAACCCGTGTGTTCCAGAATCTCATCCTTTCCTTCTCACTCGTCACATCCACCCACAACTGGGAAATGGCTCTCTTGGCTTCACCCAATCTGCAATATTTGCTCTTTCCTTAACAGGTAGGTTGACCCCCACACTCAGAAACCTAACCCCCATTCTGGAACCACTCCCTCAAATGGAGCAAGCGTCCATCTTCCCAGTAAATCTTCATTCCAAATCATGCACAACACCTGGAGTGGCCAATAAAACTTGGCAGTTTCTCAGTTCCACTCTGCATAAGCTAATCTGCCAGGTTACCTCCACTTCTGGTAACAACACACCACTCTGCTGGCAGGTCTCCTAAGACTCAGAACACACCCGAAATCAATAGGCATACAGCTAAAAAACTCAGACAGTAGAGTCTACTTTTTAAATTCCTGTGTCCTGTTTGTGGACACTCTGTAGGAAAGGAACAACAACTCTGTGAAAACATCCAAGAAAGCTAAACAGTTAAACAAAACGTCTACCCTGAAGAGGATGCTGGGCGGGAAGGCAGAGCGGAAGTGGTAGACCACAGGGCAGGGCTGACACTGGTCTGGAGAGCTTTCTCCACTAGAGGGCAGACGTCGCACACAACTGGCTCTCTAAGGACCCTCACATTCCTCACTCTGCAGGTACTGACCACATGGAGGTGCTGGAAGGGTGGCCATCCCAGCAGGGCCAAGAAGCTATACCCCCCATCCCCGCCCCTATTTATTGTCAGAGATGTATGACTCAAATAACAGGGAGACAGAAGCCCTCTTTACCATCCTGTCCCTTAAAAACAAAGTGAAAATTTATATGGAAATAGTACACGATGGTAATTAGGTCCACTGGGGTCATGAACTCGTTGTAGCCTTTATGTAATAAGCATGTCAGTCTTCGGCTCACAATATTTTCAGAGCCTGAGAGAAACAGCTGCAAGGCAGCCAGTCCTGAGAGGCATCCCAGCAGGCAGGTGTTCTCCTGCTGTGGCCTCTAAGTCACATGGGAGGGAGGAAAGTAGTAAATGTTTAGTTGAGAGTTAATTTAGAGGAGAGTATGACCTGGAAGATTTGGAATGGGGTCAAATTGACACTTGGTGCACAGTGACTGGATCTGGCTAATTACAGCTGGCTATTTTCAAGGAAAATCACAGCACACCGAGTTAAAGAGCCATAGCCCACTTATGCAAGGCCATTTCAGTAATTGCAATGGGGGAAAGAGACTGAAGTCAAGTTGTCTAACATAAAAGCTTAGAGAGGTTGGAAGAGCTGACATGGACAAAACTTAAGAATTATTTTATTTAACTTTATTTATTTATTTATTTATTTATTTATTTATTTATTTATTTATATTTGACCAGAGTTTGCTCTTTCCTTAACAGGTAGGTTGACCCCCACACTCAGAAACCTAACCCCCATTCTGGAACCACTCCCTCAAATGGAGCAAGCGTCCATCTTCCCAGTAAATCTTCATTCCAAATCATGCACAACACCTGGAGTGGCCAATAAAACTTGGCAGTTTCTCAGTTCCACTCTGCATAAGCTAATCTGCCAGGTTACCTCCACTTCTGGTAACAACACACCACTCTGCTGGCAGGTCTCCTAAGACTCAGAACACACCCGAAATCAATAGGCATACAGCTAAAAAACTCAGACAGTAGAGTCTACTTTTTAAATTCCTGTGTCCTGTTTGTGGACACTCTGTAGGAAAGGAACAACAACTCTGTGAAAACATCCAAGAAAGCTAAACAGTTAAACAAAACGTCTACCCTGAAGAGGATGCTGGGCGGGAAGGCAGAGCGGAAGTGGTAGACCACAGGGCAGGGCTGACACTGGTCTGGAGAGCTTTCTCCACTAGAGGGCAGACGTCGCACACAACTGGCTCTCTAAGGACCCTCACATTCCTCACTCTGCAGGTACTGACCACATGGAGGTGCTGGAAGGGTGGCCATCCCAGCAGGGCCAAGAAGCTATACCCCCCATCCCCGCCCCTATTTATTGTCAGAGATGTATGACTCAAATAACAGGGAGACAGAAGCCCTCTTTACCATCCTGTCCCTTAAAAACAAAGTGAAAATTTATATGGAAATAGTACACGATGGTAATTAGGTCCACTGGGGTCATGAACTCGTTGTAGCCTTTATGTAATAAGCATGTCAGTCTTCGGCTCACAATATTTTCAGAGCCTGAGAGAAACAGCTGCAAGGCAGCCAGTCCTGAGAGGCATCCCAGCAGGCAGGTGTTCTCCTGCTGTGGCCTCTAAGTCACATGGGAGGGAGGAAAGTAGTAAATGTTTAGTTGAGAGTTAATTTAGAGGAGAGTATGACCTGGAAGATTTGGAATGGGGTCAAATTGACACTTGGTGCACAGTGACTGGATCTGGCTAATTACAGCTGGCTATTTTCAAGGAAAATCACAGCACACCGAGTTAAAGAGCCATAGCCCACTTATGCAAGGCCATTTCAGTAATTGCAATGGGGGAAAGAGACTGAAGTCAAGTTGTCTAACATAAAAGCTTAGAGAGGTTGGAAGAGCTGACATGGACAAAACTTAAGAATTATTTTATTTAACTTTATTTATTTATTTATTTATTTATTTATTTATTTATTTATTTATATTTGACCAGAGAGGGACAGAACAAGAAAGGGAGAGAGAGAGGGAGAGAGAGCGCAAGTTGCCAGGTTCGGGACTCAAACTGTCGTTGACCATGTGGGAGTCCAGCGCCCCCCAACCCCCACACCACCTGCTGGCCCCTAGTTGTTAATCTTCTATCCTTTAAGGAAAAGTAACCGTCCTCACACACTCAGGACAAGAAGTAGTTTTACATCTCGGGTGCAGGGGCGCTCCCTGAAGTTAGACTCCCTCCCTCCCACAGACACTGAGAAACAGGCACTCTCTTCCTAAGGGGACAGCTCACAGGGTGGCTCCCAGGTTCTCCGAAAGACATTCTCTGGGTCCTAAATCTGACAGAAGGCTTAGAAGTAGACTTTCATACATTTCAAAGGGGCGGAGATGAAATCTACAATTACAACTTATAGTTATATTTCTAAAGAAAACTGCGAGAAAATGGAAGGTGGATTTCTGCCCTATGGTGCAGAGATATGGTATATACATTGGCTGTAGGTCAATGTATATCAGTATGGTATACAGTAACTATAGGGAGGGAGGTGGATTGTGGAGGGCTAGTGGCAGGGGCTCAGCAAAACATTTAAGAGACACAAGAGTGTCAGGTTCTTTGTTGAAAATGATGTATACAGTGATATCCTTCATCTGATTATCACACACTGCATGGGTGCTGTGAAAAACCATATTGTATCCCCTAAGATTTATGACAATTTCAAAAAAGAAAGTAGGAGGTCAGGGACATATTGTCAAGAAGGAACCCGATGAAGTTTCAGTGAACCTGAGCAGAACCTTAAGGACCCCTAGGTCAATTCAAAACTGCTTTCATCACAGCAGGAGGGAAGTTGATTAAACCTCTGATAGCAAAGACAGCATTCACCTTCATCAGGAACCCTGATCTACGAGAAGCGCAACTTAGTAGAAAGACTATAAATACATCCAGACTCTGACACTCACAGAGCTGTATTGACGAACGCTCCATGGAAACACAACATTCCTCTTTCTTCACTCTATAGTTACTTGACTTTTAAAATATTATTTGCTGTAGGGTGTGTGCATGAGAGATAGGGAGAGAGAGTGAGAAACCACTCTCCCCAGGGAGGATGGCCAAACTACAATTTTTTATCCATTCTCCTCTTGGGATTTTGGGCATTCACGCACATCCACCCAGCATATTTCTTCAGGTCATCAGTCTGAGCAGTTGGCCATGTGGGATCCAGCTGCCTTGACCACCCTGCCACTGACTGGCCCACAGTGACCTAACTTCTGATCAGAGATGGTCTATGTGGAACATGATCCTTGATTGTAAAACAAGGACGAGCTCTCTAGACTTGGCCTACGATTCACATGGGTACGAGAGGAAGGGACACTTCACACATGGTTTGCTTTGCTGCAAGTTTTCCTAAGCAATCTCACAATAGATTCATAACAACCTTTCAAGTATAGGGAGATAAGCCAAGGTAATAAGAGTCAACTGGTTATTCCCATGGTCTCTTGGGTTGGGTGATGGTTCTGAGGTCTCCCACAGTAACCATCAAGTAAATCTTAGCTTCTTTTTCTTTTCTTTTTTTCTTTTTGGAGAGGTTTTCACTATAGGGAGTGTGCGCTCGCCAGACAGACAGAGACATAGAGACAGAAAGCGAGAAATCACCCCCCAGGGGGGATGGCCACGCCACAATCCCTTCTCCTCCATTCACCTCTCAGGATCTTGGGCACGCAGGCACACGCGCCCGGCGTGAGTTTTAAGCCACCGGGTCTGGGACGTGAACTGCGGTCGACTACGTGGGAGTCCAGCGACATAGCCATTACGCTAACTGCTGGTTCCCTTTCTTTTCTTTTCTTTTCTTTTTTTTTTTTTTTTTAAGTTATTTTTTACTGGCTGGCCTGGCTGGAGGAGCTGCTAGCAGGGAGCGGACCACGCTGAGCAGGGCTTGCGACCAGTTTGCAAGGGGACACGCAAGCCACAGCCCATGGTAGTTGAAACGCTCAGCGAACTGGAGCGAGAGGGCGGAGAAACCTCCCTGGCCCCTTCGACCCCGCGCTGCTGGAGTTCCTGGTGTGCCCACTCTCCAAGAAGCCCCTCCGATATGAAGCATCGACAAATGAATTGATTAATGAAGAGTTGGGAATAGCCTACCCAATGACTGACGGGCTTCCTAACACGGTACTAGGACAGGCAACCAGGACAACACATCAAAGCAAGAAGAAACCGAGCAGCACTGGCTCATAATTACTCACACAACAGCAGCTCAATTTCCTGAGTACCAAATACCTTTTAGCGCCGGGTGGCGGGTATTAAGTGGAGGAGAAGGATGTTTCTGTCTCTCCCTCCGCTGACCTTATTCCACTGGTCTCTTTACGGGGCTGTTCTCCTCGGCCTCTGTGGAGGAGCACTTCCCGCAGGGCTGCAGGAGCACAGCCAGCCTCTGCTCCTACGGTCTGCTCCTGCCAGTCACCGTCCCCGTGTATGTGTTCTTCCTCCTTTGGACTCGGATGGGTATTAAACTCTTCCCGCATAATTAATGCAACCAGAGCCAAGATGGCAGATATGTCAGTGATAGGTTTGGGGCATCTATCTTTGACAGCTCAAGTAGAGGGGAATACTAGAGACCCATTTATTTTGTAGGAAAGACATTTTGCCATGCATCTGTCAGGTTTAAGACTGGGAGATTTAAGCTGCAGAAGTTTCTTTCTCTGCCCTTGGTTTTTGAAGGCTCTGATTTATAAGGGTTACATCAAAGAAACATTTCAACAAAGTGTCTTGTTGGAGATTTACACCTCTAATTGTTATATGATGACTATTAATATCTAAAAGTTAGTCATTTGTTTAGCTTCAAGTCTTTGGTAAAGTCACCTGTTAGGGATGGCTGAAGTAATTCCAAAGGAGCTGTGTTGGAGGAATTGTAGAGAAATGTATCTTTTTTTGTCTTTTTTTTTTGGAGAGGTTTTTGCTATAGGGCCTGTGCGCTCGCCAGACAGACAGAGAGAGACATAGAGACAGAAAGCGAGAAATCACCCCCCAGGGGGGATGGTCACGCCGCAATCCCCTCTCCTCCATTCTCCTCTCATGATCTTGGGCACGCACGCACACGCGCCCGGCGTGAGTTTTAAGCCACTGGGTCCAGAACGTGAACCGCGGTGGACTACGTGGGAGTCCAGCGACATAGCCATTACGTTAACTGCTGGTTCCCGAGAAATATATCTTACCAAACTTGATAAAAACCCGTACAATGAAATGGAAATTAATGTACTTAACAATTCTAAGTTTATAAAACTGCCTTCATTTCTTTGGCATCAAATGCTTATATTAATAAGACAATAAGATATTAGCACATTTTAAAAAAGGAATTGTTTTATTTAATTTCAGGTGTTATAATTTTTTTAAAAATTTAATGACAGAGATCAAGAGAGAAAAATGAGAAAGCAAGCCGCCGTGTTTGGGACTCGAAATGCCGTCAGCCATGTGGGAGACCAAAGCCTTAATCACGCCACCTGCTGGCCTCATACCTTAGCTACTTAAAGTCTCAGGTCATCTATGTTTTCCTGGGCATCATTCTGAAATCGGACATTCTAGACAAACGTCCTTATACTATGGCTATGTTCTTAATTCCATTTTCCTTCCTTTCTTTTTTTTTTTTTAGTTTTTTTTTTTTTTTGTTGTTGTTGTAGAGCGCGTGCGCTTGCCAGAAAGACAGAGAGAGACAGAGAGATGGAAAGCGAGAAATCACCCCCCGTGGCAGATGGCCATGCCACAATCCTTTCTCCATTCTCTTCTCAGGATCTTGAGCATGCACGCACATGCACCTGGTGTGAGTTTAAGCCACCGGATCCGGGACTTGAACCACAGATGACAACATGGAAGTACAGCGACAGCCATTACGCTAACTGCTGGTCCCCTTAATTCCACTTTTCAAACCAGGGCAGGAGTTTGCAAGAGGGGAATGAGAACCTATTGACCTATGCAAGTAACTTTATTGCCATAGAAAGAGAAACACTCATCAGAATTTGGAAATTTTTCAGGGGAACCAGGCAAGTAGAAAAGAGAAAACAACCCATTTTTATTGATAAAAACACGGTCTCTAAAAACTTAGAGATAGCTTTAAGGAGAGAAAAAGGTATTTTTGTTTGTTTATTTGTTTTAACTCTAGAAAAGAGAACATGAACATATTCTAATTTCAAATAAAACTTATGCTCATATATTACAATACCATTTAGTACTGTGTAATTAATTCTTGCTCTGCTCCAAGTAGGGTTCTCAGTGTTGTTAACTCACCTGGAATATCGACCCAGTACTTTGCTATGGTTTTCCAGCTGCTGAAATGATGCCGTAGAAGCCTTTGCTCAGAGCACCTGGTAGAGGGCTTTGCTGTAGGTGTCTGAGGCTCTGCTTTGCAGGGAAGAGAAAGCACTCTGCCCTATGGGTGATTAGGACACACTCTTAGGAAATCCTTAGATTGAATAGACGATCATCCAGAGATTGCAAGAGTCTAAAAATGGCTGTAGTTCAATTGTCACTGGTTATATTTTTATGTTTCCTTGTTCATTATTTGGGTGAAGAGAGAGACAGAGAGGCCAACAGACAGATAGACACGCAGGCACGTCCAACAGGGTCCTTATGTCCCCACCCATCTCCAGTTCATCTGGCCCAGACTTTGGGCATTCACAGGCCATGCAGTGGTCTAGAATGAGAGCCAGGAACTTTCATATATGGGTCCATTACAACCCCACTGCAGCACCCGGGGCCCCTCACTGATTATTTTGTGAAGTGTGGAACACCATGAGAGTTCATCCCCCAAAACGCAACCAACAAAGCAGGGTGGCTCTCTGGCAGGTAAAAAAAATAAAGCTTATAAACATGACAGTGAGGGAACATGCTGGGAAGAACCTTTGCTCTTGGAAAAGTGAACAATTGCGTTTCTAAATAATGAAGGGGGGCCCATTCATGCTGGCATAATTGGAATGGTATTGATGTGTGACACTGAAGATCCATGAGAGGCCTGGGTTTGGTTCCTGAACCAATCTAAGCAGGATGCGCAGGGTGGTGCATGCCAGTAATCCTACCTACCTGGGAGGTGAGGACAGGAGGGTGACAACTTATCAGGCCCTGTGAGAAAGTCCTGTCTCTCTCTGAGCAAGTTTTTCTTCCTTCTTTCCTTTCCCTGCCACAACTCTAACTCATTTAAGAGCAAGCAAACTATGTAACAATGAAGGGGATGATTTCTGTGTCAATTTAAGGGGGACGTGGGACGTCCAGACATTTGATTACACACTATTGCTGAGGGTGTCTGTGAGGCCGTTTCTGTGAGTGAACCTGTGAATAGGTGCGCTGAGTAAAGCAGACCATCCTCCCTACTGTGCATGGGCACCATCTGATCTGCTGAGGGACTAAAGAGACAGAGGAGAGAGAAAGGAGCACGAGCTCTCTCTGCCTGAGCAGGAAATGTCAGTCCGCTCCTGCCCTCGACTAGGGCTTACACTGCCGGTTCTCCAGTTATCAGGTCCTTTGACTTGAGTAGAATTGATACGGCTGGTTTTCCTGGATCTCAGATATTCAGACTCAGTCTAGAACTTCCCATCAGCTCTCCTAGCTCTCTAGCCAGCAGACAGCATATCACGAAGTGTCGCAGCTATTATGAAAGCCACACACGGACACACACTGATATCTTTATATTATCTGTAACTCACCAGATCTATGAGTGTTGAATTTACCACACCTCCTTCTTAGAGGCTGTCACTGTACATTGCACCTTCATAAGCTGAGCTTCCATGATCCCAGGAGATCTCCTCAGGGGCTAATCTTCAGGTACATGGAAACCCTGAAAAACGCCTAAGCTCTTGACTCCTTGCTCTGAGCCATCTTTGAATATTCATTTGAGGGAGGCCTGCACAGAGGCACTTCTTTCTGAAACAGTTCCACGTTTTCCTCTGCCCGAGTTTGAAATTATGTTTCATCACATCTAGGCTGTGCAGCTATGATTTTTCTCTTCTCCAAGATAGGACGTTTGGGCCAATTCATGGTGCAGTGGTTAAGGTGGGTCATCAACTGTGCGGTTCTTGTCCCAGAATGGGTGACTTTTCTTGAAAAGTACTATGGATGGCTTTCTTACTATCTCTCTCCATTTCTTTCTCTCTCTGGTGAGTGCATGTACTCATTAGCAATATTTAAAAAATTGTAATACTCGTTTTCTTTTATGATAAATGTGAACAACCCAGCTGCAGAGATGTAGGTGGTAGCATCTGCCCCGTGATGGTGGAGCCACATGAACAGCCGAGGTTCAAATCCAAGGCTCGCCCACGCATGCCCAGCACATCAGAGACCCTGGCTGACTTAGAGGCTGGGATGACCGTGAACCTATTAAGGTTCTGTCTCTCTCCCTCTCTACATATTATCATGAAAGAAATTTTGAAAAAAATCACCAAAGGCTAATGCATGCATCTGTTTCCTAGTATAGAAGAAAGCTTTCAAAGAATAAACAACTTAGGTATTCATATTTAAGGCTTCAGAAATTGACATTGTTGTGGCTGTTAATGTTACTCGTGTTAGTCTCTGGTGGCTGTGTGTTTCCAGGGGACAATATGTCTCCTTGCCTTGTCACACTCTGGAGGCTTCCACACTCCTGACTCAAGGCCCCACAACTCATCATCCTTTCTCCCCGACACAGGTTCACATTGCCTTTCTCCTAGGGGGACACATGCGATAGCATTTAAGAACTAAAGGAATAATCCACGGTTATCGCTTGACTTTAAGACCTTGGATTCCATCATATTTGCAAAAGCCCGTCTGCCATAGACAGTAAGTTCTGCAGGTCTCGGGGAGCAGGTCCCAAGTATATGAGGGGCTCTTGGTGAGCCGACCACATTTCAGAGGAAATTCAAACGTCCCACGTCTATAAAGAATGTATGGAGAAATGGCTCTTTCCCATTCCTGTGGACTCGGTCGTGGTAAAGTCTTGGCCCTGTGGCCCTGCCTCCAGCTGCTCCCCTGGCACTGCCTGAGGGTCCCCAGCCACTGCCTCTCCCACCAATGTCCTCTGCACTAGGAGGCACAGGGGTCCACCTTCCTGCTGCAGGCGGAGACTTTGGGTTCCAAATGGCCTAGGATCCCGTGGTTAGGTTCTCAATGGCTTTACTTAGCTCTTGTAAAAATAACAGTGCCATACCTATTTTAGTGGAAATAATTGTCGATTTTCTCAAGCAAAAGGTCAGAGAATCTTTCTTCTTTATCTTTTTCTTTTTTTTTTTAATTTTTGAGGCTTTCCTGTCTTATTGTGTGTGCACTCATTCGAGAGGGAGAGTGGGGATGGCCACACCGCAGTTCCTCTCCTCCCAGGACCTTGAGCACATACGGAATGGCCTGGCGTGATTTTGAAGTCACTGGGTCCAGGACTGGAACTGTGTTCTGCTATGTGGGAGTCTGGCAACTTAACCACTACACCATCACATGGTAGGAGAATTTCTTTCTTTCTTTCTTTCTTTCTTTCTTTCTTTCTTTCTTTCTTTCTTTCTATTTTTTTTTTTTTGAG